CCCTATAACTACGCACACACAAGCACACCCAAAGCAGCTTCAAGCCACCGTTACACTGCGGCAAAAAAAAACGACAAACCGACCGCAGCCGCAACCGTCGCACACACGAGGTACCTTGCATCGTCGCCTGCAGCCACTTTACACGGAAAAACACAAGGTTTCGTGCTCCGGCTTCCTCCCCAAAACACGGCCCATGCAACATCATGCAGCCATTACAATGCGGTTCGCAGCATCAACTCGCAAACTTGCACCTATCTACGCACACACAAGCACACCCAAAGCAGCTTCAAGCCACCGTTACACTGTGGCAAAAAAAAAGACAAACGGACCGCAGCCGCACCCGTCGCACACACGAGGTACCTTTCATCGTCGCCTGCAGCCACTTTACACGGAAAAACACAAGGTGTCGTGCTCCGGCTTCCTCCCCAAAACACGGCCCATGCAACATCATGCAGCCATTACAATGCGGTTCGCAGCATCAACTCGCAAACTTGCACCTATGTACGCACAGAACAACAGCGGAACACCAAATGACAACAGTCATGCAGCCATTCCAATGCGATCTGCAACCGGAGATTCCAAAACACCCTCTAACTACGCACACACAAGCACACCCAAAGCAGCTTCAAGCCACCGTTACACTGCGGCAAAAAAAAAAACGACAAACCGACCGCAGCCGCACCCGTCACACACACGAGGTACCTTTCATCGTCGCCTGCAGCCACTTCACACGGAAAAACACAAGGTTTCGTGCTCCGGCTTCCTCCCCAAAACACAGCCCATGCAACATCATGCAGCCATTACAATGCGGTTCGCAGCATCAACTCGCAAACTTGCACCTATCTACGCACAGAACAACAGCGGAACACCAAATGACAACAGTCATGCAGCCATTCCAATGCGATCTGCAACCGGAGATTCCAAAACACCTTATAACTACGCACACACAAGCACACCCAAAGCAGCTTCAAGCCACCGTTACACCGCGGCAAAAAAAACGACAAACCGACCGCAGCCGCACCCGTCGCACACACGAGGTACCTTTCATCGTCGCCTGCAGCCACTTTAGACGGAAAAACACAAGGTTTCGTGCTCCAGTTTCCTCCCCAGCTCGCCACTTGCCTTCGTCACCGCTTCCCTTCCTCACCACTTCCCATCGTCACCACCTCGCTTCGTCACCTCTGGGTAACTGAACCCCGCGGCCGCCCCCAAGAGGCAACATTACACCCGCAACACAAAAACAACGGCGATTCGAGCGCCAAAGGGACATCTGTGACCTCCAGGAGATGAAGGGCACAAAGGAAACTGAAAGCCCATACCAGGGAAGAGAAATCTTCCCCGATGCGCACCGCAAGTATAAAGCTGAGAAAGAAGCCAAGGGGCCCCCTAAGCAAGCAGCAGCCACCGGTCCCGAAACGGTGCCCGGCTCGGGAAATGGAGACGCGAGAAGCTTGATGAAGATGAGGGACAGCAAGACCCCGCCAACTTCCCTTCGTCCACCACTTCCCTTCGTCCACCACTTCCCCTTCATCACCACTTCCTTCGTTACCACTTCCCTTCGTCACCACTTCCCTTCGTCACCACTTCCCTTCGTCACCACTTCCCTTCATCACCACTTCCCTTCGTCACCACTTCCCTTCGTCACCACCCGTCATTATCACCACCCTTCATCAAGGTCAATTCCACCGCTTCTTACTCTTTTGTTATGTATTGTTCTGTGATCTACCACCCTTCATCCTTTCAAGTCGCAGAATTCTATTTGTCCGTAACACGGAAGTATTGCTTCCCAACTTCCTTTGATGATGCAATTTTCACCAATTTCGTTGAAAAAAAAGGTGCGTTGAGCCTATAAGGAAGTGCCCGATACTTATCGAAGTTAATTTTAGAACTGGTTTTCTAGGGTTCATGGTAGATGTATCTATAGTCTATAGTGAACAGGTCTACAAACTAACCACCATGTGATTAGATCAAATAAGATCACCATAGATATAGATAGTCCAACAACATCATCTCTGAATAAGTCTCATGAAAAATCCCATAGAACTTTGCTGATCCCAAAATCACATGCTGACAAAGTTTAACCCCAGTGGTTCCCAGTTGGGTTTAAGGTCCCTGTCCAGACGTCCCTGTCACATTTTCCAAGGTCAAAAAGCTCATCGAGTACCGCGCCGATCCCTTGCTGGTGCGCACCGTTAACGAATCGATGGCTGTCGTTCAACACCATGAAAAATCGATCGCTTTGCTAGCTTACCCTATGGTAATTTAACATACTTACTGAAGATGGCCATAGAAATCATTGATTTACCCATTCAAAATGGTGATTGTCCATAGCGAACTCTTAATTTGCAAGAGGGTAAATCCCATGAAATCACTATGAAACCTTGGTTGTTTGATGAATCTGGTGGATTTTGTTCCAAGCAAGTTGGATTTTAAGCACCAAAGATCAACATATGGTGGTACAATGTGGGGCCCCCAAGATAGCTAAGTTGGTTTATAACTCCAATAACTATGGTTTATGGTACTTACAACTATAGTTACGGGTGTTTATAAACCAACTTATAACTGGGGGGCCCCACATTGTATGATTTATCAGATGATGTTTGGGATACAATAGGATTTTTTACTGTCAAACGATGGGGATATAAGTGGATGTGAGTGTTTGATTGAAAGTTACTTTCGATGGGATGAGTCTATACTCACAAAAAGATCAAGAAAAGGTTCGATTCATCATTATCTCGTGGGTTTTACCACCTCAGCATATTTTCTTAAGGTTCCTATACCCAGTTGTAAAAGGGATAGGCGTTTACAGTTGTTCGCCAGCATTCCTGTTTTTCCCGCCATGTTTGTGTCGTCATTTCTATGTTGCCATCGTTTTTTCCGGCAATTCTTTGGTGTTTCTCCCATTTCAGACCTATGCATACACCCTAAATCTGAAATGATTCATTGATGATTTAACATGTTGATTGGTTTTTACTCAATGATGTTTTTTTTTTCATTGCTAATTTCATGGTTACTATAGATTGGGTGATATCCCAATAAAATACTATGACTCATTGGTGATTTTATATGCTGTCTACATTGGTTGAAACAGGTTGAAGCATCCCAGAAAGTCATCTATTTGGATCTATTTGTTGGGCATATTTTTTTATGGGGGATTCCCAGCACCGGATGTTGGATGAACTGGCGCTCCAAAATCATCCATCCATTGTCTGGTTAGTGGTTTCAAACATTAAATCACCATGTTTAATAGGTAATTCAACTATAAATTGCCATTTTCAATAGGAAACTGTTAGTTTACCAGAGGGTATTCAAATGATTTTTCCATTTCATATATGGGATGTCATCCTTCCCAAGTGACTTTCACTCCATCATTTTGAAGACGGTTATTGATTGCACCAGCTAGCAGATTTTCGATGAAGATTTTCCATGGTTCGTCACCATCCAGAGGCTCGCGCTTCTGGGGTACCCCCATGGGAAAGCGGAAAGTTCCGTGATGTCCGGGATGATGGTCAGGTCATCCCATGAAATCTCCAAATCTCACAGCATCATCCCATGAGATCACATAGTTATGGTGAATGGTTAATGGTTTTCATGGTGATGAATGGTGGTGATTAATGGCTAATGATGGTTAATAATGCTTAATAATGGTTAGCATATATATATAATGGTTAATGATTGACAGTAATGGTGAGTAATGGTGATTGATGGAATATACCCTCTGGTAATGACTCTTACAGTTTGCGAACTTGAAAATGGTGATAGAAATAGTGGATTTACCCATTGATAGCATGGTGATGTTCCATCGTTTTTTGTATGTTTACCAGAGGGTATGACAAAAAAAAACATGAAATCCCACCAAAAAAACAAAACTTTTTCAGGTGACTCAATCGTGACCCCCTCAGTGCTTGCCTTTAGGACAACAACGCCAGTGAAGATCCCATCGAACTGGCGAAAGGTGGTCCAGGGACCAGGGACCCAAAAAAGATGGCCGAGTAAATGGGTGATGTTCCATTTTTAATGGTTCTATAATGAACTACTATAATGAACCATTATACTACTATAATATTGTTAGTACATATAGTAGTATAATGAACCATTATACTAACCTTTTTTTATGTTCACCAGTAATGGGTGAGTACACATAGTATAATGGTGACCGGTACCATTATATGGCATCATGCCATCATATATAGTAAATGGTGTATATATTTGAATGAGGAGATGTACTAATCTAGTCGGGTTATAGTTGATACTGGTGGGAGACTTTAGGCTGTGACGGGACATATCATCCTGAGGCCAGGTGAGGAGTGGTGATACACCACACGCAGCAGGCTATGGGCAGGAGACAGCACGCAACGTCTGGTCTCCATCACGATGCAGTTGCTCAATGGCAATGAGCGATCAGCGATCTACAAGGTGTCGTACGACCAGCCATATCACAAAGACACAGATTGTGGCGGCTCAGAATATGTGCAGACATACACTGCATACAAAGCCGGCTCGCACAAGCTGTTTGATGGCCAAGAAGCTGAGCTGCCTGCGCTTGTGTCAATGGGTGTTGCTACCACTGGTTCCCATACAGCTGGCATTAATCACCTATTCCCAGTGGTGATTGATCTGTGATTGATCTGTGGTCGTTACGAGGTCGTTCTCAAAGATAGCCCCATGACCACCTCCATCAAAAAACTAGAAAGTATTCCAATGACCCATCATTGATCCACTACTGTTGGTGATCCTTCCATTAACCATTTTTATTCAACCATGATTGACCCCTATTGACCACTGTTCACCATTATCCATCATTCATCCAATCCATGATTGTTGGTTCTTGTTCCATTAGCCAGGTTTCACCAAATAATTAAACTAAATCAATTAACCATTAGCCATGAGTCACCATTATCCATTATAGTGTCTAGCAATGTTTATTATTATGGGTTAATTAATGGTTAAAGATAAAGTTATTAATGGTTAATTATTGATGGCCATAAGCTTGTTCCATTCATTAACCACTAGTTAACCAATTAGAAATGGTGATTAGTCAATTAATTAGCCATTAATCAGTAGTGTTTAATTATTACGGGTTGGTGGTTTGGAACATGTTTTATTTTTCCATCTATTGGGAATGTCATCATCCCAACTGACGAACTCATATTTTTCAGAGGGGTAGGGCTCAACCACCAACCAGATTAATTCACCACCATTTCTCCATGTCCCCAAAGATCGATCCCATCGTCTCGCGTAAACGCGCCTCGCTTCAGCCAATGGACATGAAGAAGTCGCCGAAGTCATGGAGGTCTCCCCGGTGGCGGCCACGGTTGGCCATCACTGCTGTGTGAAATAAGGGAAAATCACCAAAGACATCAGGAAATAAAGGTGAAAATCATTGACATAAACGGGATATATAAGGGATATATCATATATATATATATCATCATCATATATCATCATATATCATGATTGTGTTTTTTCGCGGATGGTAAAAGCATGAAATAAATGGAAAGATCTAATCATTGGCTTTATTCATTGGCCAAATTCCATTGGTTCATTGGATTTAAAATCATCAATGGATTGAAGTAGCAAAAATGTGGACTTCAGCAAAACTTGTGATGTCACCAAGACAAATGCGGTTTCACTACACAAAATTGGGGAGTTAAGAGAAATAAACAACAGTTTCGCCAAGCAAAATACTGAGCGTTCTGAGCGTGCTCAGATGGGTTAGAGTGACAACGTCTGGGGGATATATCTCAAAGAAAATCCCACAAAACTTGTAGATGATTGTTCTACCCTTTGGTAATTTGCTACATAGCTATTGAAAATTGCCATTTATGGTTGATTTCACCATTTCCAAATGGTGATTTCCCATAGTTGTGTTAGTTTGCCAGAGGGTAGATGATTGTTCTAATTATCCCGTGGGAATTTGATTCCCGCAATCAAACGGTTCAAACATATGTTCATAAAATGGGCATGAAAATTGCTAAAAGATATTTACAAATGAGGATTTTCCAGTCATGTTTGATTACCAGAGGGTACACATGACTGAAATCTGTGATGGTTTGCCCGTTGATCATCTCTAGATGGCCATCTCTTAGGGCCCCATCCTCCGCTATGCCTCATGGGTTTGTTGGAAGTTTGGCAAGTGCTCAATGACATTTTCGGGCGCTGGTATCAAGAAGGGTAGCACCAAATGGGAGACGGATGACGGTTCCAGTTGCCTATTGCGAAACTGAATGCTCAGTGTTTGCCGCGATCGCAAGTTTTGAACCAAAGACATGATGTTTTAATATCCAAAGCAAACGGTGTTACCATGTTTAGTGTTGACATTCAAAAAGGAACCTGTTGAGATAAAAAAGATACTGCCCCAAACCAATAGTCTTTGGAATATCCCTAGTTCAATCCAATAGTTTCGGACGAACTGATTTCCTTATGTTAGCATTTATCATGAAATGTAAATGAAAATAATGAAAGATTCCATGCCCATACATATCGCATAGACATATCTAAGGTCATTTATGTTTCTATGAATCTCATGATACTGTGGATGGAAGAAATCCTGCACCACCTTGGATGGTTGAAACCCTATCAATAATGGGATAAACCACCTATCCACTGGTGCAGGATTTGTTCCATCCACCGTATGTCAATATATCACCATACCAGTTCAATCATGTTCAATCTTATATATATATATATACATTCAATATATCAGCTTTATCTTTATATGTTTTTCTGAATATGTACAGTTGAATATGTCAACCTATACAGATATCTATATATATATATATAGCTAGATATATTCATCATTTGTTATAACCTGAATATATATATACATATATATATATCTGGGTAAATTATAATGACCTCACTGCGACCTCACTGGAATCATGGTTAGTAAGGGGAATCATCCCCAAATGGCCTTAATTCAGGTTAGTGAATTATTATAATTTACCCAGAATATATATATATATATATTAATCTATCGACATTATTGCTGGTTATGTTTCCAAGGTCAACCATTGTTAACCGGCCAGGCCTCAGTGGATGACAAGGAGCAACTCGCCATGCCCGAGGGCTCAGCCACAGGGCAACTGTTGAAGGCGTAAAAATGCTGGTGAAATATGGGAAAAAAAAGGGGTTGAAGTATATTTTGGCTTTCTTTCTACGAAATCTAACTCGTTTCCATTCTTTCTATTGAAAATATGTAAAGTCGTCATGAAATACCCTGGGGTGAACCAAGATCGATGCAGAAAATCATGGAGTTTCCGCATCTCTGGCTTTGTTTACCGCAGTGTCACAATGAAAAATCTGGGTTCGTTGGGTATTTACTACACCAACTTAAGTAAATTATACCCACGTTAATGGTTAATAATGGTTGATAGTGGTTGATCATGGAACATCAACAATAATGGATGAAGAGTGGATATTTAACTAAATCTGGTTGGTGGTTTGGAACATGAACGGATTATATTTTTCCCATCATATTGGGAATGTCATGATCCCAACTGACGAACTCATATTTTTCAGAGGGTAGCTATAGCACCAACCAGACATGATACCCACGTTTGGGGGAGACGTTTGTCATTTGTTGTGAGGCCAATGTTTTAATATCGTTTAACCTGCACTAATCGAAACTGATTGGAGTTTGAAGCCCAAAGATTTCTGTTGACCCCAAAAACCATGACACAAAATCTTGCACCTGCAATCCATGGGTCCATGGGCAAAAAATCCTAAGGTCTACTTAGCAGCACATCTCCAGGCCTGTGGGATGAGTGAAGACCTATGGAATTTACCATATCACTGGGGTGAAGAAACACCCACCAGCTACTTTAGGGTTCCTCAGGCCAGAGTTTTGACGAAAATAGCCATTGAATATCGTTGAATGGTGATTTCACCATGATTCCTGGGGCTGCTTGGTGGTTTCAAACATGGCTTTTATTTTCCATTTCATATATGGGATGTCATCCTTCCCATTGACGAACTCTCATATTTTTCAAGATGGTTAAAACTACCAACCAGAAGGTCTAACCATCCGTGTGGAATCTAGTTGATACATGATTCAGTGATGTTTAACCATCAGGATCGGAGGATGGGAACAGCGATGGATACGATGGATACGTTCAGCAATGAACCAACGAGAAGGAGTTGAGAAAAGGATATGTTAACATCTACCCACAAGAATGATATCATTCATGTTTAGATGCTTCGGAAAACACTTGGCAACCACTTTTTGTCATCACCATTTAACCTGCTTGATGACCATGATACCTGCGCCTGCGATGGGATGTTGACCGCAATTTTAGAGATTACTTCAGTAGATCCCTGGTGATTGGACCTCTATAAAATGCTGATCATTTAAGGGTTATTTTTAGTGCATATCCTATGAAATCTCGTCATGTCATACGCCTCACCAGGGATTTCAGTAGTACAGCGGTGAATTTTTGGGGGTATCCCATTCCTGCGCCGCAGGTCTCATGTTTCACAAATGTGCCTTCTCGCCCAACGGCGAGAAGGGCCACCCATCATCCGAGACGAAAACGGCGGGGTGAACCTGTGGCACCTGTGGATGTGATGGAGAAATTTTGATGTGGGTTTATCACAATGTCATGTTTACCAACCACCAGTCACCACCAATTTTTGTGGTATAAACTTACAAAAATCCCAGGAAGTCATGGGGGGTAAAAATGTATGACATTGTGATAAACCCATTAAAAAATCTCCGAGACGTATGGCCATTTGAATCGGCAATCCATGATGATCATCCAGTGGCTTTGGTCCAGTGGAAACATGATTATTTATCCGGCCTGGTAAACGTTTAACCATGGGAAAAACACCATTTTTGCGGGGAAAATCCACTATAACTGGCAATTTTTAATGGGAAAATCCACTAACCGATATCAATGGGTAAATCCACAACATTCCGACTGGGCCATGGAATGTCGCAAGCCCTGTGGCCCCACCCCAGGGGCTGTCCCGACTGTTGGGGATGATCGGTTGCCAAAAAATCGGTGGCCAAATATGTCTTGTAACCGCGCCAAGGCCGACTTAGCGCGATGCTTAGGCAAAGTACATCCGGGATCAACAGAAACACGAATGAATAGCAACACTTAGTAATTCCAAACAATACAATATATGAGAATTAATATGTGTTCTTGTCAAAATTCACCAGACTTGCGACTTGCTCCAAGGCTCAAGGGTCGGTCAGTTTGAAATTTCAATGGAACAATATTGATTAAACCACCATGAAGCTACCATGTTTATTTGGTAAATGCGATTGAATCCCCACCGAAAAATACGGTTAAATCCGATTAAATCCCATTAAACCATCATACTTTTGCTGCTGCTTTTAAGTTCCAATCTTCCAGTTTGTGGCAACGTCGCTGGTGAAACCTCTTGAAATTTGGCGAAATTGTCCCAGGTCGCCACACCAAAATGGTAATTCATTACGTGTGGATATAAAGCTATAGTGACTATCATTTTAGGGGTTACATCCCAACTTATGGGGGTTTTTAAGCATCATTGATGATCATCTATGGATGATAATGATGGCTGTCAAATTACAGTATGAATAATTTTGGTGAATAGTGCTTTTCATCATCCATCAGTGGGATTAAATCATTACTTGGATCATCTCACGAATCCTAACTGGTTAGTAACCGGGCTTAGTTCACCCTGATTAGTAACTGGGATGACACGAAAAAAGGGCTACTTACCAACCAGGGTTATTTACCCTCTGGTAAACATACAAAAAACTATGGAAAATCACCATGCTATTAATGGGAAAACTCAGTATTTCTATGGCCATGGCTTCTATGTCGTAAACTGTAGACGTTTACCAGGCCGGGTACCATCAAATGGTGGGATGATCCTCCAAGTGACTTTTTCACCATTGAAGTGAAATGTTATACCAGTTATTTCCCGGAAATTGAATGAGTATTGTTATCCATTAACCACTGTGGCTAGCTGGCTCGATACATATATATATATATATATACATATATATATATAAAGATATCATTAATATCTTATTGTTTAGGGAAAGGTCATCACTTTTGACCATCTCAAAGCCACAGACAGGATAGAAATCACCAGCAACTGGGGTGTTGGCGCCTTTTTGGCTGGAGACGACCGTAGCGTCGAAAAAAGTGCTTCCCAATTTGTTCGCTAAGTTGGTTGAACATGTATAAGTTTGGTCGGCGGAGGTATCTGCAGTTGGTTTTTACATTAAACCAATTATACAGCGTCGGTATCTTTTTAGTCCATGATTGAGTGCATGTCAAATGGAGATCCATTCTTCAGAGTTGCATATACCGACCAGAGAGTCGTCATGTTGGATGTGAACAACCGCCCCACTTGGTTGGATTGGTTGGATTGTATTAGCCCATCCGAATGTACAAAGATGGTGTCAAAATGATCAAACGTGGCCATGGATCACAATTGTCCAACCACAACTTGGATGGTTCCAGATCCTAAAGTTCTTAAAATAGTCCAAAAAAAAACATACACCCAAAATAGTATTCTGCTTGCGGTTGCCACATCCGTCGACCGGAAAATTGCTGAAGCCCAGTGGTGGGTATCACAGCAGGGAACCCAATTGTTGGGGTTGTGGGGGTCCCTGAAGTGGAATTCAGGATGGAAAGTCATGGGGTGAATCATAAAAAGGATGGGATTTTTAACCAACAAAAAGCCATTGTGGGTGGGTTTGCTTGTAAAAGAATATCATGATGTGTCCCATTTCAATTGCCTTGTGGGGGTAGACCTTATTTTCTGACAGACCCTTTAAAATCAAAGTTCTGAAATTCAAAATAGTTCAAGATGGAACCCAAAACAGATTAGATACCCTCTGCTAATTTAACATAGCATGGCCATTTATATTGGATTTACCCATGAAAATTGTGATGTTCCATAGTTTTTTGTATGTTTACCAGAGGGTAAGTCACCAAGTTCCATCAACAATTTTGGATTCCATGAACCTAAAATCATGGGACCCCCGAAAAACGTCACATGGGACCCGCGCACAAAATGGAGTCCCAAGGGATGGGCGAGTTCCAGTTACCATTGTTTCGATAGGGGAGTTTAGTTATGATGAAACAATAGTAATAATTACCATTAGTTAATAGTGGTGATTGTCCATAGTTATATTAGTTTACCAGAGGGTATGCATATATATATATATTGGTGAACATAACTCCAATTTCACTATGGTTTATGATACGCAAATAACTTATAAATTTTCCTTACAAAGTGGTGCCCCCGGTCGAGGTCGCGTTCAGTTGGGGGCCACTAATCACTCCAATAACTCACGATGGTAAACATGATACGCAAAGATAACGAACTAGTATTCCTGGTGTTTATAAACCAACAAACATAACTGGGGGGTCCCAATAACTATGGTTTATTGATATATCTAGGTTTATATCCATAAATATCCACATATCACATTGTTAGGAAAGTTTCTTCATGATTCCTGGTGTTCTCACTTTCGGTGGCTGGCTATTCTGCACCAGGGAATTCCGCCGCTTTTGGGATTCACAACACTGAGAATGGGAAAAACCATCTACCAATTGGTGCAGGATTTCGCAACCAGAAAAACCATAGAAAACAAACAGTTAAGCCTCAGAAAATGGTAGTTTAAGCACTGTGAATAACCTGGTCTAACCTTCCTGATTTCTGTGCACAAGATAGCCAGAAAATCACATGAAATACCCCAGTTGGGGGATCCCAAAATGATCCATGACATGGGTGGATCCAACACTAAACCAGGAATTCGTCTGTGTAGTCTGTGTAGTAAGGGGAAGGGATACTCTCAACATCCAGCTGGAGTTGAATCTGACCCTGCCCAGCTGACATGTTGTTCCTACAACATTGTTTTTTATAACTTGGTTGACCAGGGTCTACTTCGTGAATATTTCTACAGTTGGATGAGTGAACACAAGCATACATACCCTCTGGTAAACAAACATAGCTATTGAAAATGGCCCAGTCGAAATAGTGGATAAAAACCAATCAATAGCATGGTGATTTTCCCATGCGTTTTTTGTAGGTTTACCGGGCCGGGCAATCTTCCAACGTTTCCATGTTGGCTGCTGGCCCTTCCGGTAATCAGTGGGTCGTTTTACATCATCCAAAAACGGGAAAATCACCATGCGAACTTGATGGGTTTTTATCCACTATGACTCGACTGGGCCATGTTCAAGTTCGCAAACTGTAAACGTGACTACCAGGCCGGGTATACCCAATGATTTTTCCATTTATGGGATGTCATCCCAACCCGACTTTCACTCCATCATCTTTCAAGATGCTGAAATTGCACCACCAACCAGCCATTAAGCCATCATAATTATTTCACCCCCCGCAATGTGGCTTTACCTTCGCCACCCCAAACTCGCCTCCGTCGCCATCAAGGCTCAAAATGAGCCCGGCCCGATAGCGAAACCCCTTCGACATCTTGCCACGAGGGTCACGGTGGGCCCTTCGTGAAGCTTCATGGTGCTGGATTCGGCGCAGAAACTTGGCTTCCCCGTCGCTTATTGAGATCACAGTCCCCATATTCATTAAATTGTCTGTATCAAGCGATTCTCACATTAATAAAAGAGAAGCACCGGTAGAATGCAAAATGATAGAAAGCATCAACGACATATACAAATACACCGAGAATGATGAATACACCATGATTTACAGTAAAAACAACCTGGCAGAGTTGCCCTACTTGAAATTTACTGCTGGTGTTGTATCGGAACTGCTTTTTAAATTCAAAGTCAAGCTGGGCAAGAGGAAATACAAAGAGATTAAATATAAGATGAAGACCAAAAGTTTAATCCCTTCTTCAGTGGACGGAAGCATTACAGTAGAGACCGAGCAAGTGTATAATAGGATGTCTAAGGCAATGTATGAGTTCAACAAGAAGTTATTTAATCCTTTGCATAAGTCTTTTTTTAATGAGCTGGATGTAAAAATACTGAACAGTTGCAGAAGTGTAGCGCCTTGTGGGTGGTCATGTCGTAGATACTTTACTGAAGATGAGAAAGGACACAGAATAGTAAATGCATTTTCTAATCCAGTGGAGATTGACATCAACAAGGCTTACACTTGCCATTTGACCCAGATTACCAAAGTTCCTAAATTTACCGAGTTTGATGAGTGGAAGCTTTACAAATATGAAAAGGATGATTTTAACAATTTGAACCCTTTGACCTTGTATTATGTGCAGTGGCTAGGGAGTGCTAAAACTTTTTTCAACAAACCCTATGAGATTAAATACGGCATGTATTTAAAACATGTTTTAATGAATGCAAAATTACTGCATACAAAGAGCCTTCTTTCGTTATGAAGTTGATTTTAAAAGTCTTGTTGATGAACTGTGGAATACCGACATATCAACTGACAAGAAACAAGATACGTACATCAAAGTTGGTTATTTCGGTGATTAAAATCGGACTAATGGAGAAGTCCATTAACAAAAGCCAAAAGACCTTAGTTTTTGAAGACTTGATGGATGCTTGTTATCATCAACTTGAATTTTTGAGAGGAAGAGTTAATAGAATAAGCGGAAGCGGACATACAATTAAAGAAACCGAAATGACGGAAGAAACAATGAACCAAGTAGTGGAGTGGGTTGAAGATACAACAAATGAAGGGACATATTACCTTGATGGTGAATGGCGGGGTTATAAAATTATTGATGGGAAATATTATGATGTTGATTGCTTTGCAAGTGAGACAGATGCTAAATATTATACACTGACTTTATCAGAAAAGAAGGAACTTAGCAAAGGGTGGAGGTATATTAAAGAAATGATGATGCAAAGCCATCACTTCAAAATGTATGAGGATTATAATAAGTTGTTGCCAATGTGAAGGTTGCATCCATAAAAACAGATGCATTTGTAGTTGATGTTCTTAGGTTTGCTAAGGACGAAGCTGGAGGTATGACGACAAAAGCCCAATTGTTTGCCCACCGAAGACCTACAACTGAAAGAGAATGAAATGATAGACATCCCGACTAGAAACAATGAAAGACTGAAAATTAAGGACGAGTGGGACATTGAGACAATATGCCACCAAATCAAGGAATGCCACCCGTGCTTGATAAAAGCCAAACTGGCTGGAAGCGGAAAGAGCTACATGGGGGAATATATGAAAAATCTAAATCATAATGTTCTGTTTGTGTGCCCTAACAACAAGCAAATACAAGAAGTGGGAGTGGATGCCATTAGAAACAACTTAGGCAAGAAATGCAAATATGAAATAGGAGAGTTCCTGATCGCAAGGGAATACAAAAACGAAAAGGAACATACTTTTAATGTTAATTTCAAGTATGAAATTTTGAATGTTAATTTGAAAACTGCAGAACTGCAAAATGTGAAGACAAAATAAAAAGTAATAACTACGGTTGATATCCTTGACAAGCATTTCGTATATGCATACTGTGCCACCTGTCATTCATCACAGGGGGCATCAGTAGATATATCCATTACAATATTTGAATGGGAAAAAAACAAGTTGATTACTCGTGAGTGGTTTTACTTTGCCTTAACCAGAAGCACTGACATCAATAAAGTAAAATTCTACGGGTCCTATGATGAAGTTGATGAACTGAATGAGGGCACTATGAGGAGATACCTGCAGAGAAAAGTCAACCAATACAAACTGCAAGACTTGAAAGCTGGTAGGACCATTGATGAAACAAAATATATTGCTGCTGACTGGCTGATGGATAGGATTAATTCAAGATGCAATAAGTGCAGTTGCAATTTTACATTTGATTATTTAATGGAACAATCCATAGCAATATCACTGCACAAAGGTTGAACAACGATATACCCCAGCACATAGAAAACTGCCATACATATTGTAAATACTGCAATTGCAGTGCAAGTAATCACAATACAACATATTTTTCATGGTATATTATAATGAGGGGAAAACAAATAAATAAATGATAAATATTCTGATAGGTCGGGCTTTGGATCAAAAGCTACCACGCTTAAAGATGCCAGAGAAGAAGATCCATCAATAAAAATGGAGGATGTTGAACAATTCTTTAGAAAAAAATATTGAGATCAAAAAGAAAGCTAGAGGGACTAATAGCTTTGTAGCCCCACATAATAACCATACTTATCAAATTGATTTATTTTTCACTTCTACTGATGACATTGAACCAAAACAAAAATTCAGAGTGGGATTGGTTTGCATTGATGTTTTGAGTAAGTATGCTGTAGTTGTCCCTATGCTGGTGCAATGGAAGCCACAAATATCATGGGTAAGAAACCAAAAAAAGATATATACTGATGATGAACGAGCCATTGCCGGTGAAGACTTCAAGGAATATGTAGAAGGGGAGAATATTGTTTTGCATAGGACTAGAAGCCATCCTGCATTTGCAGAGCGCATGACGCACCTTTAAGGATATGCTTTTCAAACGAGTTGAGGCAGATGAGAAGAAGAACAACGAAAATTTACAATGGTCAGACTACATATTGGAAATTATGCTTACCTACAATGAGAAAATGAAACACTCAGCAACTGGGATGACACCAAAAGAAGCAAGGAAAAAAGATAATGAGTTGAAAGCAAAACTGACTGTAGCATCAAAAGCAAAAAAGGAAAGGATCTATCCTGAGCTACATGTGGGAGACAAAGTGAAGATCATGAGGAAAAAAATGATTACCGAAAAAGAAAGAACCAGTCATTTTTTGAAGGGTGAGTATGTAGTGGAAAGCATTAGTGAGAAACTAAACCAAACATACTACAGATTAACTGACTATCCACGACCACTATTAAGACACGAACTGTTGAAGATGTAATCATTTATGCTTCTACTATACATATGAATTATATGAGTATGATGTTTTTAGGTATGGTTCCCTTTATCCGTACCCCGCGCTCTGTGGAATTTCGTGGCTGTAGTGTTTTTTAGGTCGGGGTAGTTAGTTATATAGATAGGTATACAGATAGGTAGATAGATAGATAGACTTTGATATAACACAAAATATTTCAAATATTACGGTAGATGGATTAGATTTAGAAAATATCAATCCTTGATCCGCAATGCTTGGGGTACAATGCCATCATCCACTAAAAGGCACTCCTTGCTCGTTTGAGCGCAATTTGTCGGGTTTCGTGGCAGTGCCTTGGACATTGACCGGTTGATGGACTGAGACAGTTTAGTATCCAATAGTTTTTCCGATGTGGCCATTGCAAGAGAGAAGCATCGATGGCTTCCCTTCAGCAATGCGACCCATCGATCCGCCAGTCGGTTTCCCTCTTCGATCCGCCTCAATTGGACATGCGTTTTATTTAATATTTTTATGAGGACGTGAGAGGCCATTTTTTCCCAAATCAGATAGTATAATTGTAGCGAAAAGAGCCACTATAGTGAGAGTCCCATATTTAGTCACGTCATTTGCCTGAGTTTCTGTGATCTTCCGCAGTCTTCCAGTAGCTGGAGATCCAGGACAATGTGCCATTCGAACCAACAGCTGTGAGTTGGAGCACCTTAAGGACCCTCAGAGGTTTGACAATTTGCAAATTTTAACTTAACATAACATAGTACAACGTGACATAACATAACATAACTATTTTCGACTTGCAAGCTCATGGAATGAGGGCATTCTCAAAAATGAATTGTGTCCACTTCTGATCCGAACACCAACACCACCATGGCTGGCTCTCGTTGCTTGGTGCTCTCTTTGCTGTTCTTCACTTTCAACTTGCAGGGCTGCGATGCCAGCGATATGAAAATGTTGAGTGTTTTCATCGGGGTGTCTGGGGCCATGGCCACTTGTGGAACACTCATCATGGGATGTTTGGCCTGTAGCCAGTCACCGGGGAAGGCGAAAAGAACCTGCCTAATGTTCGGCATCCCAGGCCTCCTTGCCATGGCGGCTATTTGGGTGGGCTTCGGTCTGTTGGTGGCCCACATGAACTGTAAGACCCTGAGATCCTATGAACCTGAGAGTTGTGAATGGCTGGAGCCTCCTCCAGGTGGCTTCACGCTAGAGGACTGTTGCGTATCCGTGCCTACTACGGCAAGTCCTGAAAGATGACCTGAAATTGCAGAAATTGGAAGAAAAACCCATGTTTCACCCGAAGTGATTTCACCCGAGAATTCTGGCGAAATATGCCATTTTGCCTTTGCTGTCGTAAAAATATATCCTCCTTGCCATTTTCTATAGCAGGTGAAGTGGGCATCACCTGGCACATACTCATGGGTTTTTAGTCTGTTGAAAATTGCCGTGAGCATCAGACAAGTTTGACAGTTGAAGCACTGCCAAATTTTCAGAAAAAAATCTGCCTTTGGCAACATTTGGAACAACCTGCAGTGGAAATCCATTTTCGCGACAGGTATGACAAAAATCTATCAAGCAGTGGAAATTCAGAATTGGCAGAAGGAGAGAGGGAAAACCAACCCAAAAAATCGTCTATGAGGTTGACCTTGCCTATCTTCCATTGATACCATAGTCCCCCTAATCCTTACCTTATTTGATTATCAGATACCAAGAAT